GTCCGGTCACCCAAAGCCAGGCTGACCTGCAAAGCCCGTAGGTTGCACATTTTGACTTTTGTCTCAACAGGACCAGGATAAGGTTAGCAGCTTCAGAGGTGGAACAGGGAAGGGTCTCACCATCAGATTTGCTTCGAGAGAAAAAGCAAAAAATGAGTGGCCTAGTTGCAAACTCTACTTGGGAGGTGGGTTCGAATCCCAGAGAGAGGAAAACAAAAACAAAAAACAACAACAAGAAAAGCCCAATCAAATCCTGGCCCGGCTGCTGCAGAGGAGCTGGGTCTGCTGGCAGGGTGGGGCCTCAGCTGGGAGAAAAGCCAGGTCACCTTCAGACCTGACCTTCCCCCGCTGCAGGTCAGTCACATGGGTCAGAGCTGGGATGTCAGTTTCCCAGGCATTTGGCCTCGGCCTGTCCGGGCAAGAGCAGGCCGGCAGGCTCACTGGGGTTGTAATTGGGAATCAGAGAGATAAGTGGGGGTTCCCTGGCTGGGGGGACATCCGCTATGAGTTAAGGGGGAGCCGGACGCTGTGTGGAGGTCAGTGATAGGATGGCGGGGCGAACTGAGGTCAGCGTCTGGCTTTCCAAGAACAAGGCGACCCGGGGGACATCTGTTTTCATTCACGGCCTGGAGCAGAGCCGGGCTGTGGGCTCTGACGGCTGATTGTGCAACACGAGGGCCTTTCCAGCAGCCTTCCCCGGTGACCCGGGGAGGAGGGAGCTGAAGAGAGCGGCACCTCCCCCATGCCCAGTAGGCTTCTCTGTCCATGTATTCGGTGCCTCCCGCCCAGCATATCGGCTCAGAGAGTGCCAAGACTTCCCTGAAGCCACACAGCAGCACTGGACCCAGAGCTGTCTCCTCGCACAGGCACAGCAGGCACGGTGCCCAGGGCCCACAGACTTGGAGGGGCTCAGGAAAGTGTTTGCATTTCTCTTAACACAAGAAGGAAAAACATAGTTCAGCTCGTATTGTTACCAGAAAGGAGACTTGGCCCTCAGCGGGTCTGCGTCGGGCCTGTGGTAATGTGTGGGTTTTTAACTTTGTGCAGGGAAAACATTTCACAATGCAAGGCCGGGTGTTTCTGAGAGTGCTGTATTCAAGCGGGAGACAGGGGGACAGGGAGGGGTTGAGGACACAAGGAGCATCGGGAGAGAGCCGGGCAGGGCTGCCCTGGCTCACTGAAAAACAAACGAACAGCCAAGGGGCCTTGGAGACAGGGTCAGGGCCTTAGCCTGCTGCCCAGTGCCCCCCTGGCTACAAGCCTGTGGGGCCCTGTAGGGTTCAGGAGATGCATATCTGTGGGGGCAGAAGAGGGGGAGGGAGAGGCTCAGGCTGCTCCCTGGAGGGAGATTGAGTTCAGGTCCTTTGTTTCCTTCCTGTGAGGGGTTTTAAAGGCTGGAACTTAGGGGCCATCTGAGGGGACATTTCAATAGGATATTCCTCAGGTGTCCCATGGGTGTCCTCTCAGGGTCCTGGGCTCCACGGACTGGTCGGTACCAGGGCAGGGGGTCATAAGTTGCCATTTGGTTTTGCTGTTTTTCTTTGTTTTTTTTCTGGGCCCGGAGCTGACATACAATGGAGCCCCCGATGTCATGTCTGGGAAGGAAAGGTCAGGAGGTTCAAACCTCGTGAGCAGCAATATGCCAGGGGAGGAAAGGCCACCCTGAGGGGGAGGTCCAGCACCAGCTTTGCCCACCGCTAGGCACCGGGGCTCTCCACCCTGGGGACCCTCTGCATCTGGCTGTGAATTGCTCTGCCAGTTTGCTCAGCTATCTGTCTCCGTTTCCTCACTCCACTTGCCGAGGAATTTTCCTGGCTTCTTACTATTCTGCCTCAGTATTACTTTTTTTAAAAATTGATTTCAGAGAGAAAGGGAGAGGGAGAGAGGGAAACATCAGTGATGAGAGAGAATCATTGATTGGCTGCCTCCTGCACGGCCCTTACTAGGAATCAAGCCCACAATCAGGGCATGTGCCCTGACCAGGAATTGAACCGTGACCTCCTGGTTCATCAGTAGAAGCTCAAGCACTGAACTGTACCGGCCAGGCTTAATTTTGTCTTTTTACCTATGAACTAGATTGATCATTTAAAAAACATTGTGTAATATTTTGTCCAGGCTAGCTGAAGTACCAAGGGCCTGTACAAAGAAATGGCTCCGTTTGGATGGTGGTGCTTGATTAAGAGTTAGCGGGCCTGCCTCCCTCACATTCCCTCACAGCAGGGTGTTCTGCCCTGGTCTGTCAGGATCTAAAACCCCTTCTCTTTCCAGCCTGGTCCTTCAGTGCACAGGTATGCATCTTCCCAGGGAGACCTCTGTTGGGAAGGTCCACTCCCCCCTTATATGTCCTTGTTGGGACTCAGCTGCCCTGTGAACGCATGGTGCAATCAATGACTATGAAACAGGTTCTGAAAGCGGAGGTCTGGGTTTGAATCCCAGCTCTGCCAGTTATCAGCTATGCATTGGGCAGGTTGTTCATCTCTCTGACCCTCAGTTTCCCTGTCTGTGAAATAGGGTAGTAAGAGTATCTACCTAACAGAGATGGGATAGGTTAGATAAGGGAATATTTTTAAAGCACTCACAGCTGTGCCTGGCACCAAAAAAGTGCCACCTAAATGTTTATTGAACACGTTTGAAGCCCCATGAGTGCAGAGGCTGGGCCTGGTTTTGCTCTCTCTGGTATCTCCAGGCCTTGCACATAGTAGGCATTCAAATGAATGAATGAATGAATGAGTGTACTCTGGTCTTCGTTTTTTTGTTGTTTTTTTTTAAAATATATTTTATTGATTTTTTACAGAGAGGAAGGGAGAGGGATAGAGAGTTAGAAACATCGATGAGAGAGAAACATCGATCAGCTGCCTCCTGCACACCTCCTACTGGAATCCTTGACTGGAATCGAACCTGGGACCCTGCAGTCTGCAGGCCAATGCTCTATCCCCAGAACCAAACTGGTTAGGGCTGGTCCTCCTTCTTTTGTCCATATGTGTGTGTTTTTCTGCTGGAAGTCATTCACACTTTAGCATGACGTATGACTCCATGCCACCCCGCTCCTTTCCTAGAGCACCGTGGGAGAAAACGATTTGCCCTCCTGAGGAAGGGGCATCAGGCCTTAGCGATCAGGTGGGGAGTTTCACCGGGAGAGGGGAGGGGCAGGCTTTATTCTCAGGGCCTGCAACTGGGCGCCACATCCTCTGCTCCATGGAATGAAGCCCTAAGCACTTGTGCCCTTTATGCTTTTCAAGGAGACACTTTCCTCCTCTTTGAGGGCGGGACGCCTTGGGCAGGCAGCAGTAGGACCCCCGCAGGCAGGCGTCCCCAGCAGCCCTCCTCCCCCTGGCCAGCGGCCAGCCCAAGGCTTTCCTGGAGGAAACCTTGCCCACAGGTCTGCAGGAAGCCCCATTCATTCACAGGGGGACAGCCCACTACGCTTGGAATCAAGCCCAGGTCACCAGACTCAGAGAAAATAGGACCCTTGCTACTGGGAACCTATCGTTCTGAGGCCCGGCAGGAGCCTGGGAGGAGCTGCTGGCCCTGATATCGTGCGGGGCCCCAGGCCTGGGCTGCCCATTCGGCTCCCGCTGGGAACCCCAGACTGGCTGTCTGACCAGATCCTGCTGGTCCCTGATCAGAGGAAAGTGTTCCGGGGAGTCCTGGGGTGTGAATGTCTCCTCGCAGAGCTCTTTCACTTTCCACATAAAACCTGCGGTGATGCTGTGTTCCTGAAGTAGCCACCCTGGCCGTGCTCAGAACTCTGAAGGCTCATTTTTATAAGTTAATGTTTGCAAGAGATGAACTGACAGGTCACTGCTTGGCACCTGGGTCCGTGTGGTCCAAATACTGCCGCAGAAATGATATCTCAATTGAAGAACCTTTATTGGGCACCTCCTGTATTCCACGCCCCGTGCCATGCACTGAGGAAAGCCAGTGCATCTCGTCAGGGATTACCGGGTACTGATGCGGGCCAGGGGCTGTGGAAGGCACTGAGGCAGGCACTGAGGCACAGATACTTGACTTGTAGAGCCAACCCCCCCACTCTCCCCACATCCGGGGTGCATGACCTTTCTACTGCCCCTGGAACACATGACCACGACTTAGCATCCCAGAGAAAGAACTGAGAGGCAGCGGCCAAAGAGCGTTTCCCAGCATCACAGACAGAAGCTGAGCGGGGACCTGGCCTAGGTGCATCCAAGTCTGGAGCGTGTGTCATGGTGGTCAGTCGGGGCTGGGGTTGAGCCCCAGCTCTGCCATCGGCCTGACCTCAGACAAGTATTAGACCGCTGCCTCCCATCTGTGGCTTGTCATCAAAACAGTACCTGTCTTGGGGTTGCGGTGAACAGGTGATGGAATATAAGGCTTGCGAAATATTGATCCCTGTATAAAACACACACACACACACACACACTGCTGGCATTACAGCACACTGAGGGTGTATGTGGGATGCTTCACACGCAGTTTCACTGAAGTCTCCCAAGAAACACATGGTCACTGTGCACACGCCCACATGGGAGAGGAGGACACCCAGGTTCAAGGGCATGAGTCATCTCCCCATGGCCACGTGCTCAGCCAGCCCCCACACACGGCAATGTCTTCCAAAGAAGCTTTTCTGGGCAGGCAGAGTTTGTCAGCCCAGCTCAAAATTTGGATGAGGTGGTAGCAGCTGGAATCCCCACCCATCCTACTGGGCTGCGTTCTCTGTGTGCCGGCCCCCACCCACCCAGCCCTCTGGCCAAGGAGCCAGCATACCACCTCGGGGAGAGACCGCCCCAGACCGCAAGGAAGTGCTCATGTTCCAGAGTGACAGGGCCACTCCCAGCCACGTCTCCAAGCAAGTCAGTGCAAGTGGGGGGGTTGGGGGGGGGGGGAGCGGGAGAGTGTGCCTCCTCCTGCTGCTGGCTAGCTGACCACTGCCATCGGAACTGCCTGGTTGGAGTCTCTGGGGCCAGATGTTATAGGGCAAGCTAAAAATAACCAGGCAGCGGCGGGCCACCACTGGGGGGGTGGGGTTGGGGGTGGGGGCATGTGCTGGGCGTGGACAAATGATCGGAGGGGGAGCTAAGAGCGTTTGGCAGACCATGCACACTTCTGCTCCCCATTCAGAGGACCCACCTGGCAGCAGGGCCCTCTTCTCTGAGCATCTGGGAAGAAGCCCCTCTTCCAGCTGCAGGATGGGCAGCAGCAGAAGGAAGGTCATCTGGGTTCTATGCTCGCTGCTGCTGCTCCTTGAAGCCAGTTCTGCCAAGAGTATTTGGAAACGGGCACTGCACGCGAGGCTGGCTGAGAAACCCCAAGTAAGTGCCTGGGTGGGGCGGCTGGGAGGAGGTGGGCCACCCCCAGATGCTGTTCGCTCTGTAGGCGCTCCCCCAAAACACAGGCAGGGCAGGTGTCTTTTTTTATCTGTGAGTGTCAACGTCGGGCGGTGGGCAGATGGAACTCACGTCTTCAAAGGGCTCCTTGGAAGCAAAGAAGCGAACATCAGATGTGTGCACGGGCCTGTGATGTGCTTTTGCCTACCGAGGATACTTTCTCCTGGCAAGCAGCCCCTGGGTCCGAGGACTTAAGGCTGAGCGCTGTCTCTCAGTCAACGTTTTATACAATGTACTTATGCATGCGTGCGGTTATTTACTCATTCCGTAAACGTTTACTGGAAACTGCTCTGGGCCAGGCACGGTGGGGGGTTCAGTGGGCACAAGATGGCAATACCAGCTCCCACCCTTCAGGGCAGCAGAGGCAAGTGGGGGAGGCAGTCAGGCGACAGGTGACGGCAGACCAAAGGATTGGCCTGACGTAACAAGGGACAAGAAGCGCGTGCCCTGGAGCTCGGTGTCTGGGTTTGAACTCGGGCTCTGCCGCGCACCAGCTGGGTGACATCAGGCAAATCGTTTGGCCTCTCTGAGCACCGACGATCTCATCTGCTCATTTGAGAGACGGAAAGATACGTTTCTTTCAGCAAATGTGTTTGCCTACCACTGTTTGCCAGGCACTGTCTTTGGCTGTGGGAACACAGACATCAGGTCCCTGTCTCCAGGAGTCCACGCTGCAGTAGGAGAGGCAGAAAATAAGTGAGAAATAAAAGGAAAACATAGTAAGTTTGGTGACAAATGCCGAGGGGGGATATAAAGCAGGAAGGGGACTAGGAGAGAGGGTGGGGGAGGGGAGGAAGGGTCAATCTTAGATCCTCCCCACCCCGGAGCACAGAAGCATAGAAGGTCAAGGAGATAACACCAGCGCTCAGCATAGGTGTGAGCATCAAGTGACTCAATATGCAAAACGTGTTACTTAGCACGCAGCAAGTGGTCAGTGCATGTAGGTGACATTTAATGAAATAATGGTGAAATCAGTTGATGCTTGCCTCCCCAGGTGGAATATAGGCTCCTCAGGGTACAGCCTAATTCTCTCTCTCTTTCTCTCTCTCTCTCTGTCTCTCTCTCTCTCTCTTTTTTAATTCCTGATGCCTTGCCAGGTAGCTGTCATTAAGTTGGTGCCCAATACATTCTTGTGGGGGAAATTATGGGCAAATACAATGGAAGCACAGGAGAACTTATGAAGCTCTGCCCCAGGAGAGTCAGGGAGAATTTTTCAGAGTTGGGGGCATTCAACCTGGGGCTTTGAAGGATGAATAGGAGTTTTCCAGGTAGAAACATAGGAGAAAGGCTGTTTAATGAACCTAGGTACTATGGGGTGTACTAAACTATATTGAAGCTAATCTCAGCCTCCAGGGCTTACATTCTATAGGCCATGCAGGAGGATACTGGGAGTGAAAAAAAAAAAGTAGTAGTGGCTGAATTGAGGGTAGATGTTTGGAAGAAGAAAAGCTCATGTGAGATGGTATAGTCACAGAAGACTTCCTGGAAGAGGTGAGACCTTGGCCAGATCTTGAAGAATTATTAGGGATTTGGAGAGCCTGGCTGGCATGGCTTAGTAGTTGAACATCGACCTATGAACCAGGAGGTCATGGTTTGATTCCCACTCAGGGCACATGCCCAAATTACAGGCTCAGTTCCCAATGTGGAGCATGCAGGAGGCAGCCAACCAGTGATTCTCTCTCTCATCATTGATGTTTCTATCTCTCTTTCTCCCTTCCTCTCTGAAATCAATGAAAATATATATAAAAAAAAAAAAAAAGAATTTGGAGAAAGGAAAAACAAAGAAGTTGAGAAAGGCCATTCCTGGAAGAAGACTCCATGTGGCTGAGGGTTGGGGGCAGAACTGGTGTGACGCAGAGCCCTGAGGGGGCAGTCCTTCCTACAGGAGAGGCTGTGTGTGGAAGGAGGGAGAGGGAGCCTCTCAGGTCTCACTGCTCCATGCTCTTTGCTGGCCTAAAGGATGATTGCATCCTCCTCGGTATGAGCACTTGGTACCACAGAGGGATTTCTGATACATCACCTGGTCTTACCTCCACCTAGCCGTGGGGTGTCCTAGGCGCAGACATCTCACTGGGAGGACTGGCAAGTCTGGGGTGCTGAGGATGATGTACTCAGGGGATGGGATAGTCTCTTTAAAACACAGGCCTGGCCCTGGCCAAGATGACTCAGTTGGCTGGAGCATCATCGTGTACACCAAAAGGTCTCGGGTTCGATTCCCAGTCAGGACACCTAGGTTGTGGGTTTGATCCCTTGTCGGAGTGTGTATGAGAGGCAACCAATTGATGTTTCTCTCTTACATCAATTCTCTCTCTCCCTCTCCCCCTCACTCTCTCCTTCTCCTTCTCTTCCTTTCTGTCTCTTTAAAAATCAATTTTAAAAAAACCCACCCAGACCAGGGTGGGCCTCAGGCACTGAGTGAGCTGTGTCTAGCCATCATTGTCAGGAGCAAGCGCCTGAAGGGTGCCCTCGCTGGGTGGGCAGTCTCCCTGGGGATCACCAGCACCGGCACCCTCCCCGCGCCCCGAGCTGAGACAGGAGAGGTTGCACAGGAGCTGCCTCAGAGCAGGCCCCTGGGGAAGGACAGCCTGCTGACGTGTGGCTCAGAGGATGGGGAGGCTGGAAAGGGTCCTGGCCTAGGAATTCATCCCACCAGCTCTGCAGCCTTGGGCTCCTCACTGCCCTCTCTGAGCCTCAGGCTGTTGCCTGGGAAACGAAGGCAGAGGACCAGATGGCTTCCAGGACTCTTTTCTTTCCGATTCTAACTCCCAGGCAAATGGTCAGCAGGGACGTTAAGAGTCCTAGGAAGCAGACCCCACACACTCAGAGACAGGACTTTCCCATGCGGCCCCCACTGCCCCCACCCCAAGCTGAGTCAGACCTTCAGCCCAGAGGGCAGGTCAAGGTGGGGGGACAAGGCCAGGGGCCCAGTAGCATGCTGAAGCCAGGTTGGACGCACGTGGAGAGTTAACCAGAGCCCTTACTAAAGATTAAATCATGTGATTTAAGTCGTAAAAAGGAAGGAAGCACTCGTGAGAAATGAATCACTTCCTACGTATTCCTCTACATCTCACGAGTCCCTCTGCTAATGTGGATGGTATCCGTATGGGGGAAATAGTAGGTTGTGGGGAACTATTGCTTCTCCTCATGCAGCCCCTTCCACAGGTGGCTAAAGCCAGCCACGGTGGGAGTTTCAGTCTATGGACACGGCCAAGGCTGCTTGATGATGACCAACCAACCGCTGGCCGTCTGCCCCCCGCCGCAGGCACCTCTCTCACCCCCTCAAAGCAGAGTGGGCAACGGGCCCGAGGCATTTCCTGGACACGGTGTACGCTACAGCCCGGCGCTCAGTGCTGGAGAGGACGGCATGCCTTCTGCTCCCACAGGACCCCGTGGAGGCCTCTCCCCTCCGGGCCTCAGTTTCCTCCTCTGCAGCACTGGAGCGCCTGCTGTGCGGTCCAGTGAGAAGACAGTGGGGAGCCCTGAGCTCCGGGCCTGGCAGAGAGCCACCCTCTCCACATCTGCACTACTCAAAACAAAACAAAGCAAAGCAAAACAAAACAAAATAAAACAAAACAAAACGCAGAACCAAATGTTTATGAGGCTAGATAAGACAGAGTGGAATGTTTGTAAGTCGCCTAGTGGCCTTTTCTGGGGGCTCAGGGTCAGTTCTGGGGAGCTGGTGTCCGGAGCTTCTTTCCTGGCATTTAATGAAACTCATAAGAGCATTTCCTGTGCGTCAGGCCAGGCGCTGGCCATGCATTAACTCGCAGGGTCCTCTCGACTCATCGCATCTGCCAGGTGGGGCCCACTGCCGCTGCCACGTCAGCCTGCAGATGGGGCGGCCCAAGGATCCCAGCGTGTCTCTGTGCTGTGGCTCTGTTTTGCCTCCAAGCTCCCATCCAGGGCAGCAGCAAGCAGCCATGCAGCATGCACCCTGCCCAGAGTGCCTGCCCCAGCGGAGGGGACAGTGAGGGGCTGCAGCAGCCAGGAGCAAGGGGACCTCTTTGTCATGCATCCTGCTCCCAGGGTGCCCGCCCTTTGCACTTAGTCCCCCCGGAGCTGTAAAGCGGTTTGCGGGGCGGGGGGGGGGGCGGGGGTAGTCGTGTTCCAGGCAGGTGTCTCCCCTGATAAAGATCCACCTTTACCTGAATGGGCCTGTCTATTGCCTTTTTGCGTCCACAATAGCTGTCTTTTGGGGAAGAGCACAAAAGCCCTGTAGGACCCAGCAGCCCGTGCGTGTCCCTCAGGCTCCCGAGCTGGTCCTTCTCTCCAGAAACCTCTTTGGCAGATGACCAAGGAAAACAACCACTTTGCTTTAGCCGTGTGACCTTTTGTTTGGTGTTTGTCACTTGTCCCAGAGCCGCATCATCAGGTTCAGCTCAGCTCTCCTTGTTCCCAGCCCCGGGCCCCGCACATATTGTAGTTGGCCCGGGAACTATGAAGTTCCCATTATAGGGATGAATAAATTACATGAAAACCTTCCAGAACAGGATAGAGGGGGTGGAAAGTTCTAGAAGACGTCCAGGTGCATAGCAGTGCTCGGCGGACACCCAAGGATTGGTCGAGGTTGCAGTCTTGCTCTCAGCCTGCACGAACTGGGTTTGTCCGCAGTGTGAGATCCCCGTTTTCGGGGCACCTCTCCCAGGAAGTCCCGTTAGTGTGCACCAAACCCTGCTCTCAGAGCCCAGTGCGGAGGTCCCGGGGCAGCCGGAAATGGCATTCGCCCGTGCACAGGGAACCCTATGTCCTCTGTTCTGGGGAGAGACTTATTTTTAGCTCTTTGACGTCCGAATTCCTAAGGAAAAGCGAATAATGCTCAGAGGAACATTGGCTTTCTTCCTGTACCACACAAACGAGTCCTGGGGTGCACTTTTATTGGCCAGACCGTTAAGTTGCTGGAACATTCCAACAAAAGGGAAAGCTCT